CAGGGGGAGGGGAGCGATGGGTGTTTCGTTGCTCCACCTCCAACGGCACAGGTAACGCTGCTGAAACTGAAGAGAACTTTCTTCGACACCTCCTGCCGCTCTCCGCCCTCCCCTCCCCCTCTCCTCACCCCGCAGCAGCCCCACTTTTTTCTCCCCTCCCTCATTGGGATGAGCAAGCAAGGGAAGGGGAAGAGAGACGGCGGGGCTTGCGACATGCCGACGACCGGGAGGAGCAGGTAGCGAGGGAGAGGGTAAAAGTCGTCCAACTCCCCCCCCCCTCCTCCCTCTCCTTCTCCAGAAAACCGCCTTGGATCTGCCCATGTCCCTGGTATATGTAAGCACCAAATTGCCAGTGAAATGCGGGAACAAACTGTCAAAAGAACGACTGCCTCAACTGGTACAATCAAATTTTCATCAAATTATCAACCACCACGACAACAGTACTACAAAATCCAGTGCGCATGGGCTTCAACCAAAAAAGAAAAGAAAAAACTGAGTACTTTTCCTAATAAAAATTCTCAAAATGCCGACGAAAATGATCAAAATGAGGGGCATTATTGCACACTTTAAGAAGAGTATTACCATCGGCGAATGAACTGTATAAAGGGCGAGGAGCTGCTGCAGCAAGACGTGTTGGTGCACCACTAACTGTACGGAATGCCACTGTTTTGATTGGATGCGGGATGCTCGTTCCCGGGAACAATTCGATGTATCTGCAACAGAAATCAAAAGCTCAAGGCACTTGTAAAAACTGGCAGATCAAAAAAAACAGAAATTTACGAAATATTTTTAAAAGTAGTTTTGATGTCGAAAATGCATCACTTTTAATGCAATCTTATCAATTTCCGGGGCGGAAAATCCGCAGCACGCGTTCCGCGGTCACGCCAGTTATCGTCTAGAACTCCTGACTAGCACCCTTGTTCTCCTCCTCTATCCTGTCCTCAATCCGTGCTCCCGGAACTGAGCATCTAAGCACCTAGCAGCCAGCTCCTTCAACCACGTTCAACTTCACCAACCGCGACTGCAGCGAGTTAAAATCACAAGCCCATTTCTTCGACTGAAGATGAAGATATTACAAACAAATATACACAACTGCTCAAGCTATCAGTGTAGATATTATCCAAATAAAACTACATGCTTACTAGAAATCTCT